ATGTGGGAGAATAAAGGTCCCTAACTCTCCACCCCAGAAATAATTTTTCTGATACAAAAATCAGTCAGACATGGTGGAACATGCTTATAATCCCAGCTACTTAGGAGGATGAGGTAGGAAAATCACTTGAACCCAGGAGGCAGAGATTGCAGTGAGCCAAGAGTGCCCCACTGCGCTCTAGCCTAGGCAACAGATACTCTGTCCGAAAGAAAAAAAAAGTTGTTACTATATAGCAGATAATTTTATTGTCATCTCATTTAAAATTGAATAGTACATTTGGGTTGAATTCTTATGCCTGCAGAGACATTTGCCTCTGGCTTAAAATCACTGGCTCCAGGAGGAAACTCCACCAGAGGGCATTGTAAGGATTTCATAGTGTCTAAGTCATCTTGGTAATTCTTCAAATAATTCCTGGCAATTCTGTTAGGTCTTGAACTTCACTTACTTCTTACATGTTTAATAAAAAGAAGTTCAAAGTGTTGCCATGGCTGTTGAATTCCCACAGGCTTGTCTTCCCTTTAAAATTCATTACATGGTTTGTACTCTTTTGCAAATATAATATATAAGTTTGGAGGTGGATGCTTTCAGCCATTAAGTTCAAAAGTACTGCTACATGGGCCGGGCATAATGGCTCATACCTCTAATCCCAACCCTTTGGGAGGCCAAGAAGGGCAGATCACAAGATCAGGAGATCGAGACCATCCTAGCCAACATGGTGAAACCCCATCTCTACTAAAAATACAAAAATTAGCTGAGTGTGGTGGTGCACACCTGTAGTCCCAGCTACTTGGGAGACTGAGGCAGGAGGATTTCTTGAACCAAGGAGGCAGAGGTTGCAGTGAGCTGAGATCACGCCATTGCACCCCAGCCTGGTTACAGATCAAGATTCCATCTCAAAAAAAAAAAAAAAAAAAAAAAAAAAAGGACTACTACATGGACATCCATCATTCTGGCATCTCTGCCATAACAGCTGAGTATCAAGAATGTCTGTTAGTTTCTTTAACTCCAAATTTGTGTTGTGTTCCTTGGTCTCCTGTCATACCATAAAGTGTATTATTTACGAAAAGGACAATTTATCTATAGTTATTTCCTCTCAGTATGCTATATCCTTTTAGAATTTAAACATAGTGTCTCCCAACTTGAAATCTGATTTTTGAAAAACCAGAAAAATGTTTTTGGACACCTTTTATTTCCAGCTGTTTTCATCTTCATCTCCTCTCTTGAACTCAAGTTGAGGGTAAAGTTCATTCGTCAAAATTTCTCCTCAACTCACAACAACCTCATCCCACTCCAATATGATTTTTGTCCCCATGAATTGATGCACATAATTCTTGCTGGCAGTGGTAATGTCCTAATAAAAAAAGTCATGAGATGGCATCAGACTTTACCTTATTTTCTAGCTCAGCAGAATTTGATTCCTGTCTGATAAGGAAACCATATTTTCCCTAGAAACTTTTCACTTTTGTCACAGGTTTGGTTCCCAGGGAGCTGGAGATAGATGAAGTTTAGTGTGCAGGATGTTTGTTAGGAAGTAATGTCAGGATCCACATCTGTGGAAAGGATTGGAGGGAAGCCTTATGTGCAAAGGGGCAAGTCTAATGGCAATGCAGCCTGACTTTGTCAACTGGCCGCACAAACAGAGCTGTTCAGCTAAGAAGGCCTCCCCTATTTGTCCCAATTGAATCAAATGGCAAAGCCTATGCATCCCTTGCCTCCATTAATAATTGTGTGCTTGCCACTTGTGGAGGGTGAGACTTTGAAGCAGGTGGCTTTCTGTGGCTGAAGAAAACCTTAAATGTGCTGGCAAAGTTTTGCAAAGAGACAGAGAATGGCATCTGCCATGTATGTTGCCCCTTTCCAAAGAAGAAGCAACAAGGGTAATGTCCTCCAATGGCTCTGTATGCAGATAGGTGGACAGTAATGTCTGTCCCTCCTGTGACCTAAGAAGAACAGGTGGCAGACATGCAGCCAGGCAGTTAGAGGTGACACAGTGTTAGGAGATAAACATCTGTCATAAGCAGTGCTTCTTTGAATCAGATGTGACAGAAGTCTTGCATCCCTTGCATGGACTCCTTCCCCGTTATCCTGCTGTCCTACCTCATGAAGGTGAGTGGGGGCTGGGTGGTGGGCAGTCCCAGGACGAGGTACACTTTGCCTGCAGTGGTCCCACATGAGTTCCAAGGTAGCCCAGGTGGTCATCCATGAACTTTGTATTTTCCTTATGCTTCTTGTCTTTGTCTTTGAGGAACACGTTTCATTGGACTCTGAGTCCAAACAACTCATGTATCCTTATATCTTCACATTGTCCTTCACTTAAGGGAATCTCTAATCTCTAATGCCTTTGTTTTATTTTTACTGTCAATATTATAATAATTAACATTGTCGTTATTATCTTCATTGTTAGTTTTCAGTTATTTTTATCAATGGAGTTAATATGAATTATTCTTTTGTGGCTACTTACACCAAGATGAAGATAACTTATTAGTTCAGGAAGAATCTGCATTCTGAATGTGAATAGAAGTTCACACTACAGATGGGCAGACACATGCCCTGCCAATTCCTGATGGACCTCCTAGTGCCTCCTAGACCTAAGGGGTCTCCTGCAATTTTCCAAGATGCCACCAAGGCAGGGGTCCACTTGTGCATGCCTGAGAGCATCCAGGATGAAGGGAGGCTCTGGAAAAATGCATGAGTTTCCACATAATCCCCAAAAACCTTACAGGTGAACTGGATGCCACAGAAACAGGAGTGGTCATTGACACAACAAAGTCACCAAAATTGTTTTGAAGTCAATTAGGAAACCCAGGAATCACTCTTGCTGCCATTAAGTGGAAGAACAGGAGCCTGTGAATGGCATCCATGTCCTGCCTGAGACTCCACAGATATTTCTATGTGGCTTCAGGTACCAGGAATCTCCGTGATTTTCAGAAAGGCAGGGACAGCTTATGCCAGCCCATCCCTCTGCAGAATGTGCCCCAGCGGATCAGAGGCATGGAACCATCATGGACTGCACAAAGGCTCAAGGGCAGCTTCCCAGACCTGCCTGTGACTCTAGGTAAGTTCTGAGTCCATGTGGGTGCCCAGGAGAGGTTAATGATGACCTGGAAAGATGGGACAAGCTGACACCACCCCTAAACAATCTGCAGGATTCCAACTTCAGCAGGAAGCCAAAGACCAGCTCATGCCACACTAGTGCACCTTGAAAACCCCTGAATGCAATGCCGCTCTGCAGAGAGTTCAACAGAGAAGTGGCTGGGAATTTTGCATTCTAGGCTGCATTTTACAGTGCTTCTGGACACGTGATCAGAAATTTAACATTGGTATATCTAACTCTGACATTTTTCACGACATGGTTTTTTAAAATGAGGTAATATGGACAAAATGTAATATGACCATATGTATTATATGCCAAAATATGCTTCACTGGCATCAGGTAGACTCACCTTGAAATCGAATCTAGGACAACCTCCATCTTCAGAATATTTTCTTTTCCAGAGTGAAACTCTCCCACCAAAAATCAACAACATCACAGGTTTTCGACTCGAACAAACCGACGGAAAACCAATATATTTATTCTACCACCGTGAAATGGACTGCGGTGAAACACAGATGAAGAAAGTCAACACCACTTTGTCCTTCAGTGCCTGGCTCCTTCTCCACCTCCTCCTGTGACTCCAGGCATTATGCCTGAAGAGTCTCCAGGACATCGGCGGGGCTGTATTTCCTTGGGTCCCGTTGCCATTTCTCTGGATTTGCGAAGATCCAGCAGACTTTCTGTGCAACTCTCATGTCGGGGAACTTTGGTTGCATCTGCTGAAACTCCATTCCCCTTGGAATTGCGCTTCATTAATTATTCATGATTCAGGTGGGAACACCTACTTAAAACCCCCTGTGGCCGTTCTCTTGAGAGAGCTTTCCGGTCACATCCTTTCCTGCCACGCTCTTTGGTTCATTTTGGTCATGCTCCTTTTGCTGTCAGAGGAGCAGAGAGTTGATCTTGTTGATTCTGGATACTGATACTTTCTAGGTGGTCTGGATAATCAAGGTTAGGACTCTCAATGGCGGCAGAAAGGGAGCAGCCATTTGGCGTCGCTCAGACAATCCCGCTCAGTGAGGCCTCCTACATGTGGAATCCTGGTCAGAATTGTTCCCAGGTCAGAGAACGGAGATAGCCTGTGCATGATGGGATACCTTTGCCTAGAGCTTTCAGTGAGTCTCGACCTCAGCTACTCTTAGGATCAGGGGGAGAAGCATGGAAAGGCCCGGTGCTCAGGCATCCGGAAAGAAGACGGGATGAATATTCTACCTCTGAAGTACATCCCAAATCTGGGAGTTTACTTCAGCTTTACTGGGTTCTACTTGGCGAATGAAACTGTGCCTCATTCATACGCACATCCGGAAACCACTTCATGGGGGCCGTCACAGTTTGAACCCCACGCGTGGCATCGTGGTGAGCCAAATGGGGACTCGTGGTGCAAGCGACGCTCCCCACGTGTTAGCGTGCGTGAGATTCACTTGGCGGAATTTGACTAGGTGCGTGTTGGTAGAGTGGGGCTGAGGTTCTCTTGCCCCTGTGGATGTTTAAGAAGTCAAAGGTCCTGCCAAGTCCTGTGGTCCCCTCAACCAACTCTGTTTCGGAGACATAATGACTTGGATTGCTAACAAGTCAAGAAATTTTCAAGCCCTTGGAAAATCAGTTCCACACAAACACGGAATGAAAGTCAAAAGAGAGTACGTCATCTTTTTGAGAATTTTATTCACTTCAAAACCAATTAAACAAACCTATTTCCAATGGCATTCCAGAGCTCAATTTTTGAGGCTGAGGAAACACCCCAAGAACGCTTTGCACAGAACGCTTCACAGCGTCCAAAACACTGCTGTGAGGGCGGGGCACAGCTGAAGGCCTGCACCTCTCAGGCTTCCCGAACTGTTCCCTGATTCAGTCGTCTAGAGAGCAAACACACAGTCATTCCCCAGTTTCCTACTGACATCACAGCGGAAGTCTGACTCCTGCGCTTCATTGTCACCCAGTTTCTGAGGCAACGCATCACTGGCACAGAAGCTTCTCGTGGCGGGTTTCCGGAGAGCCCTGCGAACTACAATGTCCCTCACCAGAATTCAATGAGGCAGAGTCTCTGCATGTGGTCCCTGCCTGGCCTGGGCTCCCACATCCACAGAAGCACCACAGCTGGGGTGCTTAGGAGTCACCACACACAGTCTGCTCTCTGCTCTGTGCTCCTCAGTCCCACGGTCCCTCCAAGTCATGGGAGCTGGAGGCCACGGAGCCCCTGCCACTTGCAGTCTCACTCCAGGTCAGAATCGCTGTCCTCTGAGGAGGAGGAAACCTGAAGGTCCTCACAGAGGACACTCAGGGGGACAGGAACACAGGGAGCCTCAGACTTCTCTGAGACATGAGGGCTGTGAGCGAGGAAGGCTCCCGGCTTCTCAGGAGAGGGAAACGAGGGAGCTGTCAGGAGGCTGGAGCTCCACCATCCGTTTTCCAGTCTCCAGAAGAGCATTCTGAGAGGCTGGTCCCCATGGTGGCTGGCCACTGGGTGATGGGACATGGTGCAGGCCTGGGCAGTAGGCAGGCGAGGTCTGCTGTGCGGAGGCTGCAGGTCGCTGCTGGGCACCTGGGCGGGTGTCCTCCTGCTCATCTGGGGCGACGGACTTGGTCTGAGGTCGGCTGCAGCTGGCGGAGGTTGGAGAGTCTCCGGGGCCCCCACCTCACCTCCCTGGATGGCATTTTCGGGCATCTGGAAGGGACCCATTCTCGGTTTCTTGGGGAAGTTCAGGCAAGCCTGAGTTGGAGCCTCGGGAGGTCTCTTGGCTCCTGGCCTGAAACTGAGATTGGAGCCGAGGCCCAAGCTGTGTGTGTCGGCTGGTGGGCAGGGCTGTGAGGTCACCGCAGGACGTTTGTCTTGTGCCTGGGGGCTGATGACCCGGATCAGGCCGTGGGGCTTGGAGGCAGCCTGGGGAACTTCTTGGCAGCCACCCTGAGGGCTGCTGTGTGTCGGCTTCACCATGACCAGAGGCTCCGGGCCCTGCTGCCTGACTCCAGGCTGAGGGATGTCGGCCACAGCCCCTGTCTGTGGTTCCTTTGGTCGGAGACTTGACGAGGAGCTCGGACTGGCTTTTCTGAGGGGAGACAGTGAAGCCAAGACGGATACCATGTCAGACATTTTGGTAGCTGAGCCATCAGTGAGGGCAGGGTCCACGCGTGGCCTCTTATTGGTTGTGTGGACCGGCATTGGACTGCTTGCAGCCTGAAAGAAAGGAGACCACACACCTTAGAAGTTCCTCAGCATTGAGCCAACATGGAAATCAACCACATCCAAAGACAAGGTGCACACAGCAGGAAATTCTTAATACGGTATGGACAGGCGGTCCTTGGAAGTAGGGACAGATCCTCAACGTGAGTGCTGATCGGGACAAGACCCATGAAAAATGCACTCTGGAGCTATGATCTAAGAATACCAGTTTTCTAAAGACTGTCTTGGGTATTAACTGGATCAAAGCGCCTCCACTCAGCCTTCCATGAAGTGGGACGATGGACTAATGCCCTTCTGAAGGCATGTTGGTGGTTCAAGGGTTCTAGGGCATCTTTTCTGAAAACATGCATGTTCCTGAGGTTAGCGTCCTCCAGGTTTGGGGCCTCTGAGGGACTAATTTCCTCACACCGCTAGGAAGGTGTTGTTGGCAGGCTTGCCATCATTGCACAAAAAGAAAGCAACAGGAAATACGGCATCTTCAGATGCCTTCACCTGGAATCAAATGGACCTGGAAGGATTGTGGAGTCCCTGACCCCAAGAAGGCAGGGAAGAGGGGTTCCCCGATCTCCTCACACACATGGAAAGCTGAAAGGAAATCAACCAGGGTGATCTAGAGGAGAAAAGGACCAGGGGCCCAGGGTGACACTCACTCTCAGATAATCACAAGATTCCGTGGATTCTTTTCGATTTGGACTGCTGGATTTCCTAGACAGAGAGAGCCTGGGAGCAGCCGTGAGCAAGCACAGGTGCCAATCCCAATCCACAGAGCCAAGCTCTGTCCAAACATTTGCTAAGCTAGACCAATCCCCAGGCCCAGAGGTGTAAACAGTGACTCCACTCAGGACTTGGAAGGAGGAGCACAGGAAAAGGCCCAAATTTGCCAAGAAAGCTCTCAGAAATGTGGCAGTTATTTCATAAGTACTTGAATAATAAACCCAAACAATGGAAAACAAAACTAAACAAATGCAAATGTGAATGGAAACATGATGAGTGAGAGCAGGAGAGTGTCTCGGAAGCAAGCACAGCAGTCACCACTACTTCAGTCAATCACGTTGATATTTATTCAAAAGCATTGGCCTGGGGCGTGTAGGGAACCTGGACTAAGACAAGGAATGGGGCACAGCTTGGAGAAAAAAGGAAGAGTCTGAGGACAGAAATAGAGCACCAGTCTTAGGAATTATTTATCGTGGCATCAGACCAATGACTACAAGGACATCAGTATTCAAGGGGAGGTGTTAACCCTGGTAGTGAGCAGCTGTCTTCAGATGAATTTTCAGGCCACATCATGCTGGAAGCAGAACTCTCACATGGAGCAGTCAGGGATTCGATTGAGTGTGGTTGGATTCATGTAGTTAAATAAGAAGAGAAATTCTGAGGGATAGTGCGTGTGAAGTGAAATGTGAATGTTTTGTTTGAACTCCCTGCAGTTCTCCCCATCCCTGCAGCATCTGGGACCCTCTGCTGTTGAAGACAGTGGGTGATGATGGGAAACAGCAAAGGGGAAGAAAGTGGTCCCTGGAATTACTCTCTCTCCACATTTCAGGGAATGCACTGACTAAGGACTTGGACAATCTCTGACCCATCAATGCAGGGGGTGGCTCTTGGGTTAAATCACTTCCTAAAGAGACATCTCCGTGCCTTGCTGGGAGGCCTGTGGTGAACCCTACGATAGATCTGGGGATCAGGACTTGGTGAAGGGGGCATAGGTCTGAGGGACGAGGTGCACAAGAGCTCCATAGCATGCAGGCTGAAACTGGAATCGGCTGGTCTAGGGCATCCCACAGGACTAGGTGTGGGAGGTAGAGGGTAGCGTTGGGGGAAGGCTGCCAGACAGCGTGGAATGCACAATGGGGTTACTAGGAGACAAGGGCTGGTCCCAGTCATGTGGTTTGCTGGCGGCATCATCAAGGGCTGGTGATATAGGGGTGCTGCCTCCCCATCTTCTGCAGGTGAAAAAGGCACATTCTCTCCTTTCATATCTGAGATGACTCCATCTTGAACGTGGAACTCCAAGGTGAAGTCATCAACCGAAGGCAAGATGTCCTGGATCTGCATAGGGAACTGCAGGCCATCTTGTGACCTCAGGACATGCTCAGGGACAATCACAATGACTGTGTTCTCCAGGGTTAGTTGCAGCGCTGTTTCTGGGGCCAGGATGAAGACGCCCTCTTCCAGGCTCAGCCTCACTTCTGTCCCTTGTTCCAGGACTATTGTGAGCTCCTCAGTGCCAGAATCCAGCTGCTCCTGTGGAAAGACAGTCCTCAGTATTCTGCCCTCCAAAAAGGCTGCAAATGATGATCATGGGGAGGAAGATGCCAGGAGCTTCACCCTTTACAACTTTAAAATACAAACTCCCTCCCAGAATTGGCTCTCATGCTGACCCACCTAAATGTACATCTGCTGGATATCACTCGAGCCTGAAGACTGTGCAGCACTGTCCAATCTTTGCCATGCAAGGACATAGGAACTTACCTGGGGAGGTTCCAGGGACTGGCATGAATTCAGGTGTGGAGCTCCTGAAATTGAGAGTATTTTTGCACCTGTAGAGAGACCACAGTGAGGGAGGCTAAGGCTCTTTTCCAGCAAGAGTCTCCTGGATTTCAGAATGTGACCTTCAGAAATCCACAACCCAGCACTGGCTAGCCTCAGGACACCAGCCCCCAACAATCGAGCATTGCTTGCCACTCATCCTGCAGAAAACCCCCTACTCCATTTATGTCATGAGCCATGACACTGACCTCCAGGCATGGGGATCTTAAGAAATATTAGGGAACGTGCCTTACCTGTACAGGGACCCTGCTCCACTTGGCGGCGTTTGGGTGGATTCATTTGTGTGGTAGCCAAACTGCAGGACAGAAAGGGACCCATCAGTCTTCCACATAGTGACACAAAGTCTAATTCTCACAAGCCCCAAACTTCATTAGCCACCTGGCACACATTGTTGCTGTGGCCCAAAATCACATGCACTTGTGTTCAGCTCCAAATCCTATGTGCATCCAGAAAGTCCTAACACTCATCTCCCACCCTCTCCTTTTCTAGAGGCTTTTCCTGTTGGTGCATGTTTGTGATGAGAGATGGTGATCACAGGAAACAGTTTGCTTTTTCAGGAGCTCATCCACATGAGAAGGAGGGACATCTAATTTGGCCTGACGACTTTAGGAGAAGATGCTGATTTTTCAGGTATCTAACCTCTGTGTCTATGCAGTTACAGTGTGAATGGAGTGAGAGATGATGGGAAATGTTTCATTTTCTAGTGAGCACAAGGAAAACATTTAGATCATGCCCACAGTTTACCTGTCTCCACACAAGAGGCAACTTACATTTACCCAGAGGACAGAGATTAACAGTGAAAAGAAACATGAGATGAGCCCCCAACAGGTTGCTGAAACCCCTCATACTGGCCGCATCCTATGGTCTCCACTGTGGGTCTCATATCTCCCCGATGTGTTCTAAATTTATAACATTCAATGTCATGGCAGGCCAGGGTGTCTTCTCTGCCCTAGTCTGGCCCTTTAGCATATATTCACACACACACACACACACACGCACACACATAGTCACACACAGTCACATGTCAACCTGGCAACCCAGAGTAGCCACATACTCCAACATACCTGGTCTCCCCTTCATTGTCATTCAGCCGTTCTGTCTGGAAATCCCTGGGGCTTCTTGGGCGCCGGTAACCATACATAGTAAATGGTCTCTGGACTTGCTTGTGGCAAAAAAATCTCAATCTTTGGCCTATTTTCTGTAAATCTATACAGTTTACGCCTTGATATTTTACTTTACCTGAAGGAAAATTATCAGCCCCTAGCACAGCACAGCCAGAGCATGGGAGAGCGTGCCCTGGCCTGGGACCAGTCAAATGGTGCTTTGGTAGAGTCAGATCTTGGGGAAATATTCCAGGAGTCTTATAAGAGGTGGAGCCATGGGATTTGTCAAAATGGATGAATGTGATTGGCTAGTGGTGCTGATTAAACACCACAAGGGGCCTGCATGGGAGTGGTTTTATCAAAACTCAATCAATATGAGTGTGACCCTGTCAGAATTAGCCTAATTCAATCAAAATTAATTCAAGATCTCTACTCTGATTCACCATATAATTGTGATATAAAATAACAGTATTTTAAACTAGTGATATTTACTTTCTATTGTAGTTTGTTCATTAATGGAGTAGGACAATTATTTTTTGTAAAGTTCATGTGTACATCATTTCTCAGTAAACATAAAGGATTGCGTCTAGAAAACTTTGAAGATACCACAAATTGTATATACTCACGTCCCTTGTATAAAATGGTGTAGAATTTGGATATAACACATTCACATTAATTTATATAATTTAAATGATCTCTAGATTATTTTTAATACCTAATGCAATGCCCAGACATCACGTCACTTATGTGAACTCAAAAAGAACGTGGTGCATGGAAAATTTAAGATTTCTTTGAAGAAACTTGTGCAAATATTTTGTGAATATTTTCTATTCAAGATTAGTTGAATCCATGAAGATGGACCCTATGGATATGGAGGGCTAACAGTATTTTTAAATAATAAAATAATATGTATTTTAAGTGAATTAAGTTTTAAAACGAATCTCCTGGGGAAAGTTGTTCAAACATAATAAGCGAGTATTGTAAGATAACCGGGGGAAAATACAAAAAGAACCTTACTTAATTTCGATATATCATCGTGTATTAATCTCTGTTAATTTATTTCTTGCCTGTATTCCCACTGGACTAATTTCAGAATTATAAGGCAAGTTTTGCTTCCAACATTACTTATTAATTACAAATCCATCGTTTTTATGGTCAAAGTCACCTAAACTTCTTGCAGGTGACCGAACACCATATGCCTGAACTCAGAATTAGTCATTTTAAGATTAAAAATTATTTGGCAACATAAAGAATAATAGATGGTATTGGGGGAAAACAGTAATCCAGTAATTACCAGAATTGAACTAGAAGGAAAATCTTTGAGGGGGCACCATTACTAAGCATGCCATCTCTAACAGGCCCCTGAGCTCAGGGCTTCATTCTCTCTCTGGAACTTGTATAAATTTGTTTGTGGATTCTCTTTCCATTTAGCTGATAATTTCGTCAGTTTTATTAGGTGAAGTATAGATCGTGTTTCCCTTAAATGTTAAAAAAAAAAAAAAAAGAATCTAATTCGCAAATGCCTTTTGACTGAAGCTTTCCTCTCTAGTTAGATAAATCATTTAGAAGAATAAAAGGAAGACAGGAAGATTCCTTTAATTTTGCCAGTGTCTTAAAGGCCTCCAAGGGGAACATTAGTGCCTTTATCCAGAGAACTGTCTGCTTTGGGGATTTTGATCATTTCTGAGGAGAGCAGCAGATAATTGGCTGAAGATCAGATGTAGTTATAAAATTGGATTAATTGCCTACATTCTTTCTGGCTGCAGGGTTCAGGTTGAGATATTCAAGAAATAGCCTCTATTGACGGTTCTGGAGTATGTATATTTTACAGTCAAGAAAGAGAAAGGCCGCTCATTGTGAGCTTCTGTGTGTCTCTTCTAGCTGAAAACCTATGGACTGCAAACCAGTACACAAACAAAAATATGAAGGACTCGCCAAACAAATACTCTACCTTTATAATCACTTTGATTATAAACAAAGCAAGTTTTAATACATTTACACCATAAAAGTCTCAGGATATCTCCTGCAACACAGAATAGTAACTTACTTTTGAAGAAATATTTAAGCGATATGTTTTCATTTGGGTTGGAAACTATTTTTCACAAAAGTATACCTTTCCCCTTGCATATGTAATGAAAATCACTTTTAAATCTGCAGTGCTATGATAAAATTAAAGACGTGGCTCTTGCCGTTTTAATAGCAACAATTTAAGGATGTATTAGTGCCCCTGCCTTTCATTGTCTCACCATTTTTCAGTGACTTTGGCACTGTAGGAAAGATGAGCCCCTCACAATGTGAAAATGCAGGGATGCAGAAAGCTGGGTTTCCCTGCAGGGGCCCCTTCCTCGCGAGCTGCACTGAGACTGCACAGCCTTGCCCTGACCCCAGACTCCTTCCTCTGCAGGGTCCCCGTGTTCTGTAGATTTTCCTCACAATTCTTCATGTGTTTCTCTTCATAATCAATCTTGATAGAAGTTGCGAGGAAGACACATTACAGCCTGCTATGGTTATCAATGAAAATCCCTAAGGAACACGTATATTTGTAAAATAATTCTCGCTAATATATCCCAACAGAGATAGTGCAGAAGAAAACACGTAGGAACAGCCCAGAAATTGAAATCTTTTGTGCTGTTTCAGAAAAATATCCAGGAGACGCGCAGGGAATCTCACTCGGGTAGGGCTGTGGACACGAGCGTTTTCCTTAAGATGGACGCAGCCCGATTTGCCCCAAAGCCAGGGGAGCGCCGCCTCCTCCCTGGCCTGAGGAAGGGAAATTCCCTCTTCCCTAGAGATCTGGCCCCGCCTCCGCAAGCAGAATGCGCATGCGCCCTGTACGACCAGAAAGCGGGTTCCAGTGCCCTCTGCCGGCTATGGGCTTGCAGAGCGGGACTCTTGGCCTTCACGGTTTAGCGGTTGACCTGCGTCTGAATCACTGAAATTCCGGTTTTCTCAGTAGCTTCCTTTTGGAAGATCAAATGCAAATGGAGCACGGTATCTTTTTTCTTTTTTTCTTTTTCTCTCTCTTTCTTTCTTTCTTTCTTTCTTTCTTTCTTTCTTTCTTTCTTTCTTTCTTTCTTTCTTTCTTTCTTTCTTTCCTTCCTTCCTTCCTTCCTTCCTTCCTTCCTTCCTTCCTTCCTTCCTTTCTTTCTTTCTTTTTTTTTTTTTTTTTTTTTTTTTTTTTTTTTGAAAGAGGATGGAAATAAAGAAGCAAAGTCCAAAGACCATATAGTCTATTGATTCCCTGTATGTGGGGGAAAGAGGAGCTTCAATAAGAGAAGCATTCTGTGTGATGCTTTAATGCCAAAGATCTGCCCCTGTGCATTTTTCAAATACAACACAATTTTACAGCATAAATAGTACATCTTAGTGGGTCAGGATTACAGCAAATGACATCTAAAATTTGGAGAACATTACATATTTAATTAAATAGGTTAAAGTAAAAATAATCTGAGGCCTGCCTGGACACAGCCTCTGCCTCTCCTTCCAGATTGTCATGAGCTTGAATTGGTGTCTCCTCATCCTCACACAGGAATTGACATAAACCCTGGCTTTAACGTAAAAACAGTTGGGCAGATTTTTAAACATTATGATGTTTCACTTTCACCCATGAATTAGCCCATTTAATTGGCCTCAGTAAAGTCTATGATTTTGCGATTGTGCAGTTTGGTAAAAGCTCAACGTCATCTCAGTATATTTCCTGGTACCACTTCTCCTTGATGTTTGGATTCAGTACTGAGGTTTGTTGAAGCACAATGCATATCCAAGCCCTAGAGTCAAAGCAGAGGATGCTCCCTGGTCAGAACATTCATTTTGCTTGTGGAAAAGTCCATTGAATCTGATATAAAAGGGCTTGCATGGTGACTGAGAATTTAGGGTGTTTAAGTTTGCTGGTGCTCTATGTGCTAGGCTATAGTAAGGGGAGCAAAGTTGTGTCTTTCTCTGTGTCATAACGCAATTACTCACTTGAATAAAAAGTGGGATGTCATGAGATGAATTCCTATTCCCACTTTGGTAGGCTTTAGGAACAAACTCTCAAGAGTTTTCTGCGGGATACAATAGCAGGGCTGCCTGACTCTCTGCCCGGGAGCTGTTCATGGGCAGAGACAAAGGCTGGGGTCATCCAGTGGTTTATACAAGGTGTCTTTGATACTATCCCCATTTCCCTGCTAAATCTGTGTAATGGCTCATTGAGAAACCTGGCATGAAGATCCCTGTTTTGTCAACTCCAGGGGTGGATGGAGACAAATTTTTTTTTTGGAAGTCAGAATTAGGGGATATGGACTGTGAGACAAAAACAAAAAACTCTTGAAGAAGACAGGGACTCGAAGAAAGGGTTGGAATTTCTACTCACATGCCAAAGAATGCAGAAGAAATTGTAAGTGTCAGAGCAGCATAAATAAAACTAGAACTTGTACAACATAATACATTTTTCAGCAACAGTTTCTATTGTTTCAATATTTGCAAGTATTGTTCTCTTAAAAAACTTGAGGTGCTTACACTTCTAGAGAGAAAAATAGAGACATGTAA